TGTCAGCAGCAGGGTAGCGTTTCTCTCCACCTTGCTGGCTTTTGATTTACAGTTTGCAAAGTGTCCACCAGTGGGAGCTATTGCGCTACTCACGTGTTACAAAATACCTTGCTTTCTGTATGTTTCGGTCATTGAAATGCTTTTAATGTTTTTTTCCCCTTTAAAACGATCTTTTTTATCTGCTGTGTTCATTTAAGAACAAAAAAGTACATAAAAAAGTACAAGCACTGAAAAAGCATTTCTTTTCACGTTTATGGAGAACAATTCAGTAACTCGTGTTTGCTGTGTCCAGAGAAGCTGCAGTTCCCGTTCCACAGCTGTGACGTGCGCATCGACGGCGAGTGTTTCATGGTGTCTCCAGAGGCTGATACCTACTATGGAGCCAAACTCAGGTGTCAGGTGTGGTACTGTGGGATAAAGGGCTGAATTCTTCCGCTTCTTCAACAAGCAGTCACAGTCAGGGAGCGCTGCTGCGCTACAATCCAAGCTGGACTAGCAAGTAACATTTACAGCAATTGCTTTATTCCCTTGATAAGGTTATTTCGTGGAGCTTAATAATGAGCGGTTTGTTTACTTTTCCCTGATAATGTCGGAATGTAGACGTTCTCACTGTGAGCGTACTGCAGGGACAGAGATAAGCCTCTGTCCTCTGTGCTTTTTCTTGCTGTTCCTTAGGAAAAAGGAGGGATCCTGGCTCACATTCACAACCAGAAGGTTCAGGACATCTTGGCCTTCTATCTCAGCCAGCTGGAGACCACCAATGAGGTCACAGACCCTGACTTTGAAACCCGGAACTTCTGGATAGGTGGTGCATCTCTCTGCTCTCTGTCTCTCTGTTTCTCTTGTGGCCTGTAGTATCTGCTCGGCATTGGCATGCACAGCTTTGATGACTAACATGCAATATCTGAACGTTTTTCTCCTGTGCTGACAAACATGCACTAGTTACCAGTCTACCAGGACTGACCTCTGCGTGGCCTGTGTCCTGTGTACTGTTCCCTGACACTGCAGTACACTCACTGCAGCCCGCTGGCTCTAGGCAGTTCAAGCACTTCCAGTGTTAGCCTCCCTGTCTTTGGAACTCGCTTCCTGATCGTATCAAAAACACAGCCTCTGTTGATGTTTAATTTCTCATTTATAGCCGGTTTTGAAAGTATGTCCTGTGCACTGTACTGTTCTTCTTGTGTAATTTAAGTGCCGTAAGTATGCTCTGTGTCGACAGGCGCATTATTATTCTTGAGAATAAAAGTGATTGATGGTCGTGATTCTACCGGACAAAGGGAAGCCTGAAGCTGCAGTGTGAAGGGCAGACGTGAGCATTTCTTTGTCTTGGTTGTGGGCTGTGCTCCTCAGTCGCGCTGTGACCTGCAGTGAGCTGAGCTGTTCTGTTGCAAGCCTGCACTAACAAGGGTAGAGGAGATGTGTCAGCTGTCGTTTCTCTCCTGCCAGGCCTGACCTATAAAATGTCCAAGGACTCCTTTCGCTGGGACAGCGGAGAGACCCCTGGCTTCACCAGCTTTGCTTTTGGGCAGCCAGACAACCAGGGGTGAGTGAGGAGGCCTGGAAAGAGCGATGTAATGAGTAATGGGTTCTCGAGGAAGGGCAGGGTTTTTACTCAGTTATCCCTTATTTGAATTTTTAAAAAAGCTTTTTCAGCTCATTAGAAAAAGATCTTATAGTTTATTACAGTTTAGGGATTAGGGAAGAAAGCCAAACTATTGAGGCTCCATAGATATAGTAATACAACAGGTAATGGGTTTATTCCATGCTGAAAAGAAAAGAAAAGAAACACAGCGTTTTGGCTGTGGAGCCTTCTTAGCTACACCCTGTTCTTCGTTAATAAAATGATTCAGTGTGCAGTTCTCCCATCTTACCACTAGATGTCCCTTTCCCCCCTGCAGCTTCGGGAACTGTGTGGAGCTTCAGGCAGCCAGTGCCTTCAACTGGAATGACCAGCGCTGTAAAACTCGTAACAGATATATCTGCCAGTTCGGTGAGCCTGGCCTCCACTGACTGTCAAGCCAGACAAGGCTGATGAAGTCAGAAGATGCAGTTTAATCCGGTTGAGCCATTCCTCCTGGAGCACACAGCAGCAAGTAGATTGTGCAGACAGAGGCATGGTAGCTACAGGACAGGGCTTATTAATCCTAGCCCCATCTATCCAGCTGAGATATCAGTTTCTTACCTGAGGTTGTAACCGAGCTGCTGAATTGCAATTTACAAACCCTTTTCATAATTATTTCTAGTAACTTTATGGTTCTTATAAAATTTAACAGTTAATATGGAGCCTCTAACAGTTTAATATCTAAAACTGATGTGAAATGTAAATAAATGAAAAATTTCGACCAGTTAAAGTTTCAGTTAAGTATCTGGGGCCTCAGAAATAAAACCAGCAGAGTCTGACTGTGAGAGCCTGGCTATACAAATGTCCACATGGGTTGTACAGACCTGTGTGTCAGGATGAATATCACACTGGATTTTGTCAAAAGGAAAAACTACCAATTTATTCCTCAGCAGCTCTGTTTGATAATCAAAGATTGTTAGTAGCTGTACGTTTTAAGTTTGTTTTTCCAATCAGTCCAAAAATCTAACTATAACTAGTGCAGATACAATTTAGGAACAAGAGTTTTGTGTTATAAATAGGCTTCAGGCCATGTTAGTTGTACGCCATAAGACTTCGTAAGAAAGTCACTTTTTGTTTTCAAACAAAGATAGCATTTTCACTTCCATCGCTTATCGTTGTGTGTGCGTTTTACACAAGCTGCCAGCGGGGTCTCTGGGTGCGAGTATAGAGACAGGCAGGTGTCACTCACCTGTGTGTGTGTCCACAGCTCCAGAGCACATAGCCCTCTGGGAGGTTGGCCAGTGAGGGGCTGCAGCCTGCGGATGAAGATCTGAGTCCCTAGGGGGCGATATGGAGACACACCCTGCTGACCCACCACCTGGCACACTGAGGGCAGTACCTGCAGTTCTCTGCCACGGTGCCTGAGCCACCCTGCAATCATCTAATACGTGTTCTTGTAGTGTTCCTTGTAGAGCCAAGGCCCTCTGCCACAGTAACATGGCTGAGGGCAGCTGCTGGTGTGCTGTTTGTATTGTCTTGTGTGAACAGTGCTTCATGTTTACCCTGTTCCCGTGGCTGTCACTCAGAGCACAGAGTGCGTACAGAAGCAAGACAGCGGGCACATTCACCTGCCCGTCGGCTCTCTCTTCTCCAGGGCGCTTAGCCTGATAGTGATCACTGGCACTCTCTGCCACACGATCACCCTTCTCTCGGGCAGGCGTCGTCAAACTAGCCAAACCCACACAAAACCACCACCCTGGCCTTCCCTGCACAGTGCCTCTGCATCTTGCTGACGTTTCCAGGTCTCCAAGAGGCTCACATTCAGTAGTCAGCTCGAAACCACTCTTTTCATGCAGCCAGATACCCACATGGCTGTGGTGTGGCTGCACCTATCCAGAGGTGCTGACCTGAGCTGCCTCACTTGTATTTGAGGGACGGAAGGCACAGTAAACCTCGGGAACCACACTGCTGGGCTATGGGCTGTGATGGACAGGAAGTTTCTCACTGCGGCAGCAACTCGGTTTTCCATCTCCGACACACTTTCCCTCCAAGTGAAACTGAGCCCCTGTGCCTTTGAAACCGAAGACCCCCCAGTAGACATCTCCTTCCTAGACAAACAGGGGTGTTAGAATGTGCATTTGTTTGTATTTGTCGATTTTTTCTATGCTCAATGTTCTGATTGTTATTGTGTATAAGACAAGTAATAAGATACAAAATATTAATTTCGTTCACAAGCAACAGACAGTCCAGAAAGTGCTGTGGTGTAATGAATCTGTGATGTACTGCCAAAAATAGTCGTTGTTAAAAGTTGCCAAGTGGGCCTGAAAGGCGAGAGAAATAGTAATCTTGAGAGACGGATATCAGGGGTTCACTGGGATTTAGTATTTAATATTTGTATTTTTTAATGCCCCACCCAGGAAATGGTTGTGTTTAATGACCACTGTTGTATTATATCTTCTGTAGATGTTGTTAAATAAATCTAATTCCATATATCGCTTCTTTGGGGGGTTTTGTTGCACAGACACCTTCTCTGTGCCTGCACAGTAACTGAGAGACAGCTGATGGACGTACTGTCTCCGGTGGAGTCTGTGGCTGTAGATTGATCAAAGGAAGACAAGCCGTCTTGAAGAGAAGCTCAGTTAGGGTCTAAGGCTACAAACCTGAAACGGACTGCTAATGAATTCAAGTTCATTAAGGATATGGCGTTGAAAACATTTGCATATGACCGACAGATTCCGCCTTGAACACTGTCATTATAACACAGCAGGTGAGGTGGGGTCTTCAGCCTGGGGCTGAATTCTGTTTCAGAACCCTAGAAACTGTGACTCCTGGCTTGCAGATTCTTTTGCAAGCAGAGCGATGAATAATTCCTGTTGCTCCTGAGATGAAAAGCAGGAGCAGAATCCTTCTTGCAAGGTGACTGATGAGTACACCAGCCTCTTTCCTGTTCTCCGAAAAGTTCAGGTGCTGGGGTAGCATTCCGACTAGAGACTTCAAACTTCTTCTAAAGAAATGGGGTTAACAAAAACCAGAGGAAATCTCCTTGTTGTCTCTGCATTGCTGTAAACTGTAGATAATAAAAAACCAGTACCATATAGATTATTTCCCCAAATCAATTATACTCCTTACTCCAGGAGTCTTGTTTTTCCCCCCCTGATAAATCCTTATCTCACTCACTGTGCCAGTTTTCCAGATAGAAAATAACAAATTACTGCAGATAATACTCAGACTAGACTGCTTTGCATTGGGCTGTTGCCTGCATTGTCTGAGGTACTATTTGGCAGGGCTTAACTCCGAGTACAGTGTGCAGAGTTTCTCTCATCTTCCCATACAATCACTGCTTTTCTCCATTATGCTCCGAGATTTCATTAATTTCAGCTGCGATTACTACAGCACCAGTTCACACTGCATTAAGGAGTAAATGGATTTGATTGCGCTCTCTATGTAAGATAAAAAGATGAGTTTTCTGGCTTTATAGCACAGTGCCAGAGTTTTAAATAGTTTACATGTAAATGGTATCGATAAATTTTTAAAAAATGATTGATGATCTTCCTTTGAGCAATATTATTGGATTTCTTGTGCATTTGCAACAATTCATGATGAAGAGCATTACGCCGACCCGGAGTTTTGCATTTTTTATACTTTGCAAAATTGGCAAAAAAAAGTGTGTGTGTGTGTGGGGGGGCCGGCTTTAAAGTGAGTTTCCGATTTCTGGGTTTTTATTTTAGAAACGCTCGTTTCGCTCAGATACTCATCCGAGTATGCAGCTACCGAGTGAGACAGGGGGGCAGCGCGGAGCAGGGTGTCCCGCCGAGCTGGGTGAATTCCCGGCGGTCTGCAGGCTGGAGCCGGGGCGGGGCGGTCTGCTGACAAACCCCCCCGGTTCGCAGGGAACCACGGGCAGTTTCCATGACAAAGGCGGCTAATGCAACTGTCACCTCTCCCCCGTAACACGGTGTAATCCGCAGCGCGGAGCTTTCTTATCAGGCGAGCCGGGGAGCGCAGCGAACAGCCCGGCCCGCTAGATTAGCGCAATCAGCGCTCCTATTGCGCCGCCGGCTGGCCGCTCGGTGCCGGAGAGGCGGCGGTGCTGGTGCAGCCCCTCCCGACACCCCGCCGAACAGGCGGCCGGAATCGGGCCGAGGAGGAGGGAGCGCTGGGGGGCTGCTGTGCGATTCATCTCGGCCGAGGTCGGAATGCGTAACCAAGCACTTTTTTCCTAACGTACAATAATCATCGATGACCTCTTTTTTGAACACCTCCGCCGTTAGACTCGTTTAATTTGTTTGCACGAATTTGTTTAATGCTACTATAAACAAAAAAATAACTAACTTGAGCGGGAGATGATGGTGTGTTTGCGTGTTTGCTAGTGTTTACATTTTAAGTCAATATGATCGTTGTAAATTTCACAGTAAATTGATTAATAAGTCCGCATTGCCACACGAAATATTTTGGTTTTGGTAGTGTCTTGAATGCTGTTTTTTTAATTTGAATCCAGTTGTAGGCATAAGCAGTATCCCTGTATACGCGTCCGGCCTGCGCCTCCAAACCAGTCTCTTCTTGATTTTGATTTATATTAACAGATTCAATTATCATTCCCGAGCTTCAGCCTGACTAGTTCAATCTAATATCTCTCCTCAGGAGCTGGGGGGGAGGAGTGGGTGTCTGCTAATCCACCCTGATGTATCTTGACACTTCATTCAATCTGAACATCCTTCATGCTCATATCCGCTCGGCCAGATCGCTGTCATCTCCGGCTGCTGTGCTGGAGTTTCTTTGATTTAATTCATTTTTTTCCCTCTAAAAAAACGAAACACCCTTCCTCATATTTGAAAGTCAGAGCATCTTTTTAACAACTGTGGCTGAAGAGAGGAGAGCTTTTGAATGCGCTGAAGACAGTGCGTCAGAATGACCCGTCAGGTTGCTCTGTGTGAGTAAACGTCTGACGTTGTGCTCAATGACTTGTGTGGCACCTACTCTGCCTTGACAGTCAGACCGGCGTTGCAAGACTCTGTCATCTGCACACCTGTAGAAATGAGACGATAAAGACATTTACTGACTGAACACTTTCACCCGCCCTCATCATGCTAAATGCATGAGACTCTGTTGGTTGTTGAGCCATTCATGACAGAGTACAGTACGTTAACTCATGAAATGGGAAAACATGGTGCCCTTTGGTTTTTGACAGGAAGGGATGGAATATTCATCTTTTGTACTAAACATTCATTTTTTATCTTGTCTTTCAGTGTTAGTTTCGGTAGCTGTAATGTAGTCATTGTCCTGTATTCCCATAGATTACAAGGGCATCGATACAGTCAACACGGAGGATTTCTGTAGAAGGAACAGTGAAACACAAACCAGAGGAAACCAGTGGGGAACGGCGTGGAAATGCAGTTAAAAGAGGAATTTCTTTACCCAAAGAGAAGTGGGAGTGTGGAACAAGCTGCCACTATTTACTGTACATTATTACTGTCTGGCCACATTATTGAAGCCAATACCCTAGGGTTGTCTGGATGAGATATTTGGGTCAATTGTCTACTGTTTTTATATGCTTTTATGTTCCTGTATACTCTTGTAACCACTTTATCTATTTCAGGGTTGTCGGGGAGCTGGAGCCTATTCCAGCAAGCAGCGGGCATAATGCAGGGTACAACCTCGATGAGACGCCAGTCCCTCACAGGGCACACAGACACACCAGGGCCGATTTTCTCAGAAGCCCAGTAAGCTACCGGTATGTCTTCACACTGTGGGACCATGCAAACTCCACACAGACAGCACCCCCAGGTCCAGGTTTGAACCCAGTCCTGTGAGGCAGCAATGCCACCGCTCCACCCAACACATATTACAGCAAACTCATGTCTGTTTCACAATGCGACAGAAACAGAGTGACGAATTCATTTGCGTTCTTTGCTCGAAAGCGGGGAAGAAAGCGTGGCGGGGCGCTGTGAGCTGGAGCACATCTCCAAGACCGCGTCCGAAGGGCTCCCTGATATCGCACCAGGAGCGGGCCGAGCCGCTGCTCTCCGTACCCGGCCTGCCTTCCAAAGACAGCTCAGGCCTCGCTGTGGGGCGCAGTGGCCTCAGGGCTCCAGCACTGTCTGGGGCTGCTGTGGGAGAGAGATCCTGGAGCGCCGCTGCCGTGCTGAACTGTGTGCGCTCCAGGAGCGGGCTGATCTTCTAGCACCGGGCCGCGGGGCTGCGAGGCTCTCCACCAGACAACCGGCGAGGGGAGGGGAGCCGCCGCCTCGGGCACAGGGCAGTCTCAGCGACGGCCTTCCTCTTCCATAGCTTCCTCCTGATAAGACCTTGTAAACCGAGGATTAGAGCCGGGGGGGAGGGGAGGGAAGGAGCAGAATTAGCTGCTATTGTCATGCTAATGGCAGCGACATTTTTCACTTTCGTCAGACACGGGCACCGTATTGTGCGGCAAAGGGGAATGCAATTTCTTGGCTCCTCGTGATTGTAAGGGGGATGACAATTAGAAACCTCTTTGAAAACGCGTGTCTCTAAATGGCTTTCCATTCGCACAAGGAGAGGGGGCCGTGAACCAATTAATTTGTGCATAGATGTGGTGCTCTTAGGAAGAGCAGAGTCCTGTTATTTAAAAACCTCATGTTGTTAATTTAACATGTGCCACATTCATGCAGTCACACATTCAGTGCCTCCTCATTCACCTTGAACACCACTCTGCCAGATTGTGGCCTTTTTCTTCAGGTCTTCATTTGATTAGAGCAGACTCAACACAAACTTCTCTCAGCCCCCGGCAGGAATCGTCTGTTGTGTGCTAAGAAGAACTTCAGATCATCTCCCCCCGCCCCGTACATCATCGACACGCAGATTTGCACACCGGTGCCGCTCACTCTCACCACAAGGAGAAGCTGGGGCAGGACTGGCATGTCATGAGGCCACGTCTCGGGTAGGTCATGCAAGGTCACCCAAGAGGTGAACTCTGGGAAAGGGGATTGTGGGAAGGCAGTGTTCTCCATTGGGCATCTCACTGCTTCCAGTCTCCTTTGACCACAGAACAGGACTATTATCCAACCAGGAAAGCTGAACTCGAGCCACCCAGGTGTCTGGCAAGGAAGAAATCACCGCCAAGCCACTGACAACGCCCTGTATTGGATAATATATCCTAGAAATGGTAGAAGTGTTACAAGGAAGACCTTGACATAAACCAATCTCCACCGTTTTAAGGCAATCTACTAATTATACTTGAAGGAGCAAGAAATATATTCACAGGTCATGAACAAAACAGACCCAGCTGTTGCTGAAGACAGGGGTAGTACCCATAGACTCAACATTTTTAGAAGGGAAGTCATTGAAAACACAAATTTCTTTACTGATTTTTGATCAGTGAGTGAGAACATGTTCTGGGAACAAAGTGGCGCAGCTGCAGTACAGGTCATTTACATATCACAGACATTGTTGGGAAGCAGTAAAAACAGGATGCTACAAAAGAAGTGTCCTACATTGATGGGCTAAAAATAACAACCTTTTTAATCTTGAACAGAAAAGACTACAAGGAGACCTGATACAAATGTTTCTCACAAGCACCGGCAACGACAACCCAGAGGACTCCTCCGGAACACACGACGACACATAAACCAGAGGACAGAGGCAGGAGCTACGTAGAAATGCATTTGAAACTGAGAACAGGAGGCTTTTCTTGGAGGTGGAGGTAGAGCACAAGCTGCTTGCCTGTGTTGTTGATGCAGATACCCCGGATTCTTTTAAGAAATTCCTGAATGAGATCCTCAGATCGGTTAGCTACAAGCAAAGGGGCTTGAGGGACCAGATGGCCAACTCTCGTTTGTAACTTTTCTGAAATCCCAGTGAAATGAGGCTATTTAAGATAAATAAAGATTACAAGTAAGATAATAAAATTCAATTGAAAAGAATAATCATCTGTTTTGGTTTGGAAAAACCTGATTCCTTACCCCACAACTGCTCTGAGTAGGGTCAGGGGTAGAGTTAAGGTGAGCTGTTATGAACAGCTTCTATGTCACCTTTATTCAAATTGAAAATCCCCAGATCACAACCCACATCGTAAGTGCCATCAGCAAACAGTGTGTTTTACTTCTGAATAGTTGAATACTGACTTGAGCTCCCCTTGTGGGGATGGAGAGTGAGATTTAGTCAAAAATGAAGACAAAAATATCAGAGATATCAATATCCTTCTCCTGGAGCACAGAAGCCAAAAGAGCTTTGAATCTCCCAGCGTTCAGCATGTTGACGTTGCTCGGCCTGCGACTTTACTCCTCGCGTTAGTGCAGGGTCTTGAAAGCCCCCCCAGTGCCACAGAGCTCCCAGGCACTGAGGTCGTTGAGCTTCTCCTACCGCACGACAAGATCGGGGGGGACACTGCACTCCGCCATCTCCTGCCTCGGATGCCTGCTCACACTGGTACCTTGGTGCACAGTGCAAAATGCTACAAAATGTGAAATAACTAGACCCAAAATACAGTCATATAGAGAAAGGTACAATGCTGTATTGAGGGAAGGGTTTACCTTAATTTCCTGTCCATTTTCAGGCAAAGGAGCCCATCTTTGTGAACATGTGCAATATGTTATGAACTCTTCTATTTCCAAAAAAGCCACCTTACTGTCACCCACAGCACTGCAGGGCTGAGAGCCCTCACACAGCAGAAAAGCACCGTGCAGCACCTGCTGTGAAAGCAGAAGGATTAGAAGAAAAAACAAAAGTATAGACAAAGTTTCTGAATGCACACGGTATGTATTAGACAGAGGCAACACCAGTCTTCAAGGTCTGTTCTGGTTGTACAGCAGCTGCTTCAGACCAAGAAAAAAAAAACATTTCATGGTACAAGTTATCTAAATAAGTAGTTAATTAAGAAATTAGGATTGGAGTTATAATTAAAATGAGAAGACCCTCTAGCTCTGAGCTACCCTTCTTAATATATCTCTACTGCAATATACTGCATAATGCTTTTATTAACTAGCTAAATACATCAAATGTGAATTAACTGCCGGTTGTTAAAATGCAAATACTTTGAGGACTTGTCATTGAGGCTACTGTTAGAATACACATGTACTGTGTTCAAGTGGGGAGCTGTCAGCTGCAAAGGAACTAGGAAAGCTTCATTCCACACTGGGAAATAGAAAAGAAAAACGACTGGGCTGTGGAGTTGAGCCGTCTTCAGGCTTATGATGTAGCGATGTAGTTTGCTACATATTGAAATGAGCCCCGAGTAACTAGTTTCTCAGAACAGCGGACGTATATTTAAGCGAGAGCTAAATTGTCTCAGTATGGCTGTTATTTATGTCCAAGGTGGGGCCATCTGCTTCCTCTGCTGGCGTTAGTGGCCCCTCCTCCACCGCGGCAGCGTTTCCCAGCCCTGCTCCTGGGGAACCTGTCTCTGCTGGTCTTCACTCTCCAGTGCTGCCCGAGGGCTTCCCGGAGCCGCCCGCGCAGATCCACCTTGATTGCTCCGTCCCGAGTGTCAGAAATACCCAACTTATAGAGGGAACAAGGTGGGGCAGGAGAAGAGAAAAAGAAGGAGAAACGAGTGCCGCTGGAGGGTCTTCCCCTTGCGGGGGTCTGCTCGCCCCTCCGGCCGGTGCCCGGTCGCGAAGGCAACGCGTCGCCCTTCCTGCAGGGCTCCGCCTCCACCCTGGACACGCCCCGGCACAGGGCCACACTTTTTTTTTTTAATGTGACCCCTAAAAAAATCTGAATTCGATGGACTTGTTACTAAGATCTCGGGCAGAACGAACAGCAGAAGACACGGTGGTCCTCCGGGAGCAGAGATGGAAGCCATTACAGAATTCACTTCTCCACCACGCTGTCATAATGCAGCTCTTTGAACAGGTATCCAACTTCAGCAGTATCCTGTGCAGGCATACACTTGAAATGGAAGGGTATAAATGCACCTGTCAACATTTAAAACAAATTAATATATTCAATATCCAGTCATTCTCTAACCGCTGTATCCTGCCCAGGGCTGCGGAAAAGCCGAAGCCTATCCCAGCAAGCACCCGGCGCAAGGGGAGGTGCACCTTGTATAAGACTGCAGTCTATCACATACAGTATATATCAAATATTAATTTAAAAAGCTAATTACAACTCCTAGAAGGTTGCGCTACGGTACACTCAGGTGTCCGGTTAATTGCATCTGCTTGTACGCGTGAAACGGTTTACTTCTCTTCTGGATCTGATAGATTGCTCCCCAACACATTAATTCTTTTCCTCTTTTTTCACTCTATTATGTATTCTAATTTTTAGCTGCTTCCATTATAAGTAGCTAGTTGTTGCACCAGTTTGCAAGATTGAATCTGATAACACTTAATGAAAAACGGTACAATGAGAGACAGGCTTGTCCCGGCTGCCTATCGACTCTAGGTTCTTCTTATTTTAAAAGAAGGCATGTTTAGCGGACACATTTCACTGTCGAAAAAAAGTTAACGTGTATTTATTTCTACGGCAAATCTTTATAGGTATCTCAAATAACAGGCCAATCTATGAGCTCGAGCTGAGATCCGTTGAAAAGTCAGAAGTCTCGGGTCTGCTATCTCACCGTTCATTAGCTCTTGATGTGTGCAAACAAGAGGTCATCAGCCGCGCAAGAGTGGACGAGATTGTACAGATTCACTACCAGCTTCAGTGACGGTAGCTGTGCCGCCTCCGAATCGGCTCTGAACAGGTGACCCAGGCCAGCCTGCCAGAGATGGTTTCACATCGAAACTGCTGCGTTCCCGGTCTGAAAAAGACGAAGACGGCAGGGCCTGAATCTGAAACAGCGATATGCTCATTTATTCTTTCACTTTCATTCTACCCAAAAAAAAAGTATTTCACGCTAAGCAACTTTGTGTAATTATTGTATTTCCCCTCATTAAGAAGACTGCCTCACAGCGATGCTGTTTTTGAGCTGGGGGGAGTCGAGAGTGGCGCTCCTCATGTGTGGGACTCTTGAACGGAGGGAATTGCACAGCAAGCCCAGTAACACTGGCAGCGCGACGAGACAGTCGGGACGCCCCGTTTCCTCTCTGCAAAGTGCGGTTCGGTTAAATGTTTTGAATTTGATTTTAAGAGAGGGTCGGAGGGAACATTTGTACGAGCATGTGTGTGTGTAGGGGAACGGGGAAATAAGGATGTAGAAATAAATAAATAAACGAGCCTCTCAAGGACGTCATATCTTAATTAAAAATGACAGCTTTAATTAAAATGTAATCATTTTATTCGTTTTCTAATTAAAACGGAGGCAGCTGATAGTTTGTCTCATTAACTTCAAAGAGTGCAGCAACTCGGCTGCTGGTTTTATCAGGAAGGATAATAGCTGAGGAATTCTCTGAGCAGAACCGCGGAGGAGGAGAGTGAGGGTTTTATCAGCCGGAGCTCAGCTTCCCAGCAGCGCAGTAGAGTTGGACTGTGAGAAACCGGGTTGTTCTTTCCCTCTCCCTCAGTGGCGGTGGCAATAGCGAGTCTTTTATTCTGCCACAGCGACACAGGAAACAGCATCCGAAACTTTATGACTTCCTTTACCATGGTAATGAAACAAGACTTAAAATAGCATAGAATAATCTGTGACTGAACAACCTAACTGTGAGTAAAGGGGTGGTTACAGTTTTTAAAAAATATCATATGGACAGCAGCCATATCACCTTGCAGCTCACCACTGGCAGCCCACTGAAGCTCAGCAGGTGTGAGCCTGGTCAGTACCTGGATAGGAGACTCCTGGGAAAGCTAAGTTTTCTGCTGGAAGAGGTGTCTGTGGGGCCATCTAGGTGGGGCCAGTAGGGGGTGCTCACCCTGCAGTCTGTGTGGATCCTAATGCCCCAGTATAGTGATGGAGACACTATACTGTAAAAAGCTTGTGTCCTCTGGATGAAACATTAAACTGAAGTCCTGACTCTCTGTGGTCATTAAGTGTACCAGGGTGTTTCTTGAAAAGAGAAGGGG